GCCAAAGAATGCGTGCGCGCTTGGGAAGGCGCCAATTGGGTTTGCGGCAAGAATGCTTTCCGCAAACTATCCAATTATATGCTCTTTTAAAGCAGGAGATAGGAAGGGGCAGGTGAACTGTTGGTAGCAACCCTGAGGCGGAAGTTCTGGTGCGGGGCCGGGCTGGAGCATCTGATCATGGTCCGATACTTCGATCTCAGCAGGGATGAACCTAGGCGTGAACGAATCTCTGCAGGGTTTTGGGGAGCACTACCAACGTGAATATGTATCCATTACTTAGCGACAAGCCTCGCTGGCCGGGAGTCTGCGCTCGAGATGAGGCTGCTCCAGCCGGAATCCCTACGTCTCTGCATGGAGGCCACAGCTTGCAGGTGGACGGCGGAGACGTGGCTTGTACAAACCTGAAGAGGCACACAGGCGTGACTCTGTTCGCAAGACGAAGTCTGCTGCGGCCCACCTTGCTTCTGTTCCGTGCACCGACAAGGATGAAAGAGCACACCCACAGGATCTTTGGGACGAATTGAGGTGCAGGGGCGCAGGCACACGCCTCCCTGGTCCTGAAGCTAGCTACAAGCATGGGTAGGTACTCCGTACTGCATGGATACTTCACCCAACTGGAGGGGCGTGCCTGAATTACATTTTAATCATGGAAGTGACTTTGATTCGTGTCGTAGCCAGCCTGGCGTGCCCCGCCTTCCCCCCTTGTGACTCTGATCCCACGCCCCACTAGATGTTCAGCCTCCATGGATGATTTATAGCCTTCCTCACCTTCACCTGGAGTTGTTGTGTGATTCTAAGTTTGCCGTGTAGATCAAAGCAGGAGAGTCGGGGTCAGGATGGCTCTAAGGGTGGTCGACGCCTGTAAGATGAAGAAGTAGCATCGGGCCAAGACCTGGTTGCCGCGAGTACAAAAACTATGCATCAGATACTGTTCTCATTGGCGCAGGCTGTGAAGCCGGGAAACTACACGGGATGTCCTGCTCATATTTCCCAACGCAGTGTCACCTTCGTGGCTACATGTCAAAGATACCCAACTTTTCCATTACCTCTGGGGCGGAATCGAGCCCTTCCTTTTTACACTGTCACCAAATGCACTTTAGCACCTTGTGACCAGAAGAAAGCGAACACCTAGCAAGTCGACACATATATTACTATTTCTATCTGTGCTCATTTATATAAACAAAGTAGTTTTTTTACAAAAATGCTCAAAGTGATTTCGGGATTTACGCAGTCTTTTCTGCATTTAAAGTTTTGTTCTCTTGAATAGTCATTAATATAGCTAAATAGTAAAAAAGATAGGAAGAAGATACTACCGAGGTATTACTCTGCTACAGTGTTGGCTTTTTTCTGGTCACAGGGTGCCTAGCAACTGGCACAAGAACTGCGAGTGCGCGCCCGCTCCGGCCCATCTGCTACCGACCACCGGCACCGGGTCATGTAGACGGCCCAGTTCCACAATATGTTCCGGATCGCGGAGGTCAACTGTATCGACAAACCTCACGGACCGATGAGCTGGTTCTGGGAGATCGAAAACCCTAGATCACTGCATCCTGTCGGTTGATGGGACATGAGTGATCAGCGCCATGCGGATTCACAGATGTGTTGGTATCCCTATCCCGGGGATTTGGTTCGAACCGTAGGTGACGAAGAGGTCAAATTGATATACATTAACCTCTGCGTAAGGTGTAAAAGGGAGGTTCCAACCGTAGGTTGGGCAGACCGTGGATCTTGCAAGTGCGGTCTGTAAGTGGCCCCTGCGCGGGCCCCTTGCCTCGAGGTCGAATTGGACTTCCAATACGACAGGTGTAAGGCAGGCAATCTCATCGTGTGTCCCGAGCTGTGTATTACAGGCCGACGAAGCCATGCAGAGAGGGGCGGAAGTCCATCACCGTAATGAATCGCACGCGATTGCCAGCAAGGGGACCTAGCCTAGCAATTTCTTCCATTAATAAATACTGATTCGAGATCGACTCGGAGTATCGTGATTGTTGATCATGGCGATTCCCCCAAACACCTGGAAGGCTGGTTCTCGTGGACATGGTTCTGTCCTGAATGTGCTCCAAGTGGGATGAAGACCGTCAGCTATGGCAATCAGGGCCGGTCACGAATAACCCATAACACTGTTCGGCTGCCAGCGAAATCAGACCTCAGCCGGGACACGGGGCCAATTCGAGTCATATTATGCTCGGACGCAGTCGGCAAGCGGCCCATTTGATTAATAGACAAAAGTCAGACGTGGGGATAGATTGATGTAGCTGAATTCGGAATCTAGTCATCTAGGAAGCAACTGCCGCAAACTCTTAAGTGTGCTCGAACCAGCTGAAAGTCAGGTGATCCGTCCGCTAGGTCACATGAACCGGCTATGAAATGGTCACCATCCCAGCTTCAACGGCTTTGGGTCTCAAATCTCAGACATTGAATGCTGCAACTACCTTGAAATGGATTACGGACCCTTTGACGGATCTGCAGAACGGACTACCCCAGCTTACCTGGTTGATTAATACCAACCAGAGATGGTGCTCCCCAGGTCCATCGCTTTCAACGAAATATCCTCCATTTCTTGGTGGTATCAGGACTGAGACGCTCTTGGTGGGACAGTCGGCATTTCTTATTGGAAAACCACCACTGGAGGTCGTCGCGCCACTCCACCTCAAACCAACTTTCGCAAGCTGGTACGATTGGTTGTTCTTTGGCCAAGATGGCGCTCCCTACGCAAGGCCCATCACCAGTCAACCAGAACCCTAACCACAGCGTAGAATTCGGGTCGACAGTCGTAGCTCTTTGTAAGCAGTCAAGTCGGATTTGACCAACACAGGCTGAGGTTCCGTCGGCATAGCGAAGGAGAAGTCCAATAATGATTGGTTTGCCCATGCGTTGGCGATGGCATGGGACAAACTCAACCACGTCGTAAGCCTAGCTCTATTCCAGGCGTAATACTCGTCGTGACGAGAGATAGGATATGGGGTTGGCCACTCGACTGCTGGATTTTGAACTTGATGTTCAGTCGAGGTGATGGGAACCGAGTCTTCGCACGCCACAAGCCGTCGTCTCAGCGTAAATGTGACTTGTGGCTTGCCAGGCAGGTAAAGAAGAGTCCACTTAGATCGGCCCAGTTTGGCCGTGGCTGCACTCCTAGAAAGGTGGAACGTCCTTGATCCGTTACGAGCTATGCATTGTGAGCAGCTTCGACATGGAACATGAACGGATCAACACATACTAGTAAGCCAATTGCAGTCCTCAGCTCGCCCTCGAATTTCCAAATTTGCGTCAGTACTTCGCCTTCGTGAAGTGGCGTGTAAAGCCATATCGCAGCTTCATCCATCGTCCGTAAGGCCTGATAAAAGTCGAGACTCTCTCCGACACGGTGCGCATGGAGCATCAGAATCTCCCAATTCCAACAAAGTGAGTAGGCTGTAGTCTGTGGATCGTTGCAAGATACTACAGACATGTGATTGCTTGGTTCTGCATCACAGATTTCTTCGAATCGGCTACACACGGACGAGAGATACGGGAGACCCCAGTAGATATTTTGCGACACTATTGTATCGTCGACAAGCTCACGCAGTTTTAAACCCTGACAGCTCTGAGTTAGCACGCTCGCCTAGAATCGCTGGGGTATACCGAAGCTCACGTCACTGCGGATCTGAATGAGGCCGCCAATGTCTTCCAATTTAACGGCTTGCCACCATAGGCCAATTTCTTCTTCAATCGTACATGGTTTCGATGAGTCGACGAAGACCACGCAACGGATACCGAGATGGTCGCTTGCAATGTACAAGCTGTTGATAGATGTCGAGAGGCTTGGATCAAACAAAAGGAATCTTGGTTGCCACCGGGCGTGTTCCTCAGATGGCCGATGTATTGAACACCTTCGAATTCAACGTGCCTAGCATAGACCTTCTCCGAAATCTGGATAGAAGCGTTGCCCTCGGTCTTGGCACATGTTTGGTTGGCAAAGTAGACGGCCAAGCGGTGACACGTCGATCGATCATCAAAAGCCCAGGCAGCGATGTCAGAAAAGACTTCTCTGGGCAAATCTGAGATGCGGCAATCAGCTGTTTGAAGGAGATCGGCTAAATAGGACTGGAACCAGCGAATACGCCGTATATCCGCAATTGCTGGAGGCTCGAATGCATGTGCTGCAACATCAAGAATATTCGTGAATGTTTCCGGAGACGTAACTTCGACGCAGATAACATGGCACCCAATCCGTTGCTCATCATGGTTGCATCGTCCACGACACTTTACATAATCGACATCCAGAGTGCTATCGATAAAACCACCGATACTATACTTGTACGATGGAGAAATATCCCTATCGGATCGCCGTACTAAGGGGGTCAGAGGACTGGGACTGAAAAGGGTTGTGGAAGACTTGCCTGCCACTATGTCATCTCCGTACTGGAGTTCAAAGCGGCAAAGTCCGCAGAGTCGTGGCACACAAATAGATCTCGTCATCGTCTTGAACAGAGCATGATGAACGTTTCTTGCAGGTAGGAGAAATCGCAAAGAGAATCTCGGTTCATTACGGAGCCAGCCGGTGATTTGACTGCAAGTGTCTCGGATCTACGTTTCGCCATGTCGGTTCTATCGATCTGTGAATGTGAGGAGCCTGAAACCAAGCAAACTCATCTGGAAGCGCTGCAGCTGGAACTATGATGAGTCATCCCACCGTAGGCCGACGGGTGTTCCCAGAACAGCGCCTAGAATAACCGAGGATAGCCGACAACCACTTTTCATATGCTCTTCCAGTCACCTATGTTCTCGACTCCTTTTCCATTTTCCCAGTTTCCCATTCTCCTGCTTTCCCGTTTTCCTGTTTTCCTGTTTTCCTGCTTTCCAGCTCTTTTTGTATGCTTTGATCCTCCCCGCCCGTATCCGGCGTTTGTGGTACAAGCAGACATGGAAAAGTACATTGAATCCTTGCTAAATGTTATCAACCACTTTCACACCCACAATTCGCCCAGCCCCAAGCACGTCAGGAAATTTCGCTCCTCGATCGGGTTGTTTCCTGAGGACGGTCGCGAGTCCGACGACCCATCATCGACACGGTCAAAGCGTAAGGGCGCATGCGTATTCCTGACCAAGGTTCATGAGGACCTGGGATTCCGTATGTCTTTGCTGTGTGCTTTTACATTCGGACCGACCACTCTATACGAAATCGGGCAACTCAGCTCTTTCATTGACGAGATGAAGGACAAAATCACGGGATTATTGCAGGCTGTTGCCGTCAATTTCGGGGCTAATATCAAGAGCTACAAGACTGAACTCAAGGCAAAAATTGGGGCAAATGATAGGTAAACTCTCAGGTGGCCGGATCAGTTCTAATGCCACGATAGCCATCTCCGGCCAAGTGCAGGGCCGAACTAAGCGTAAGATGAGCGACACGGCTGCGCATAGCCAGTCGACCGCGCAGAAGATCAGGCGCGCAACATCACCGAGAGAAGAAGTGTTTAGTGAGGCCGGCACCACTGAGCCCAGCACCGGTCCACCAGTCAGCAACGGTTTGTTGAACCCCACTTTCCGGCCGACTGGTACACCTGCTGATGTTGGATAGCGCCACTGAAAGGGAAGGTCTACAACATATCGGTGGAAACTACTTTCCGACTCCTGGCACTGACCAGGCGATCGGATCTACAACAATCACTTACGGTCCCTGACAGTGAACAGTGGCCGTTCATCACATTCAGATGCGGTCCTAGAGAAGTGATCAAGTACTTGACGGAATCGGATCAGGTCATTTCCTTAGCATAGATATGGTAGATTGTGCAGCTTCCCTCCCCGAAGAAAATATACCCCCAATCTTCTTTCCAAGTTACCATCACCATTTGACCCCTGTTCTCCCCGCCCTGAACCACACCAACTTGGTCCAATGCACTGTCGAAGACACGTATATGCCCTTTTGGATCCGTCATGTCAACGACGATCGCAATGGGTGCCTGAGACCCCTGTGCCGGGACTTTCCTGTCAAGATCCCGGACCGTATGCTGATCTGATTCGACTCCATTCACATGTAGCTGTCTGAATTTTAGCACCGCTCTTTTGGCTTTTGGAACATCAGGACAAACACTTGTCCTACCTTTTCAGAAACAGCTTTGCAGATGTCTATATCTCTGCCTAATTGCGATTGTTCCATTGAGAGTTGCTGGCTAGAATGCGACCGTCGGAATTAATTCTTGGTGTGGGTTGGACATGAAACTTCTGAAAAGTCTTGCCAAATGGAAGGGAAAGACGAGTAGGAAGGAATTTGCCCCATAGCAAGTGTATTCCATGGCGACACAAAGGGATGGGGAGATTGGTGCCTGACAACTGTGCCCTGTTGCCTGATGAGGGAGAAAATGAGAAAATGAGAAAATGAGGTGAACAAAAGACCTAACTCAAGAATTAATATAAATTGTCGTCCTGGCTATAGTCTCGGGATCAGTCTTGTCAAGTTCACTCTCCACACACTTGTTACGACCCAACACGTATGACGAGGCCAGGGTCTTGCCCCACAAGACCTGCGGCGGCTACCACACCATATATGCGGAAGCACGAACTCAGGATGACTCCTCTCGGGTCGGAAGAACTATGGACAAGTCACGGGATGATAAGAAGGACCGACGGACGAGAAGCGGTCCATGAACAGGACCGACGAGACAAAGGCGGTCCGCCCCTGTAGGACCGACATCGTGATGTCGGTCCCAACTACAAAGGAACTGTTCAGATAGTATACGGGACTTGTATATAGGATGAACTTGAGCCGGGCTCAAGGACAGACTTTCCATAGCTTCTTCAGCAATCAACTTAATATCAGATCTTACGATCGCTTTCAGCTATCTTCCCTGAGAATCCTTCTGACGAGACTACGATTGATCACCGAAGCCTTACCTACCTCACGACTTACAGACATAGCTTCAAGGAAGCTATCCACGACTACGACACACTGTTACTTAGTATCGCAGCCTTAACTTCTGCAAACACACTCACTACGACTAGCTGGCCGTAACAACACTCTCATTGCCGTTCATAACATGGCTCTTGTCGACCCATTCGCAAATGGGAGGCGTATCAGATATAAAAATGTGCATACAAACCCCCGCGAGGCCAACACAAACTCATACTGGGATCTCGAGAATCAAGCCATGTATCCAGTGGCACAAGGATTTCTTACCGCTCGCGAAGACTATCCAGATGCTTACAGCAATCTCAAGTTCGACCGAACCGTGTCGGAAATAACGCATGATGGTGAACAAGAAACCAAGGTTGTCACGGGGGAGGACAAGAGACCTGGAGCTCGAGATTCTGAAGTCAAGAAAGCTGAGGATGACGTGGAAAAAAAGTCATTGTTGGTAATGGAGGCCTTCAGCTTGTCTCAACTATACTGCCAGACGACATCCGGGACAACATTCCGCCTTTGGATGATCAACAGCACAACGAAATGTCTTCAACCTCTGTTCGGTGGCAACACGCGAGGCGATAGCAGCGCTTACATTGACATCAGTTTGCCATTTGGACAGTTTGAATGGCATCGACTTGGAAGTCTCGTGAAGAACGAGGAGATTCGTCCTCTTGAGGACTTCGGGGCCCTGGTCTACCTAGTGGCGCCGCCAGACTGGATGTTCAAACTTGCCCAAATGCAAAAGCGGCTCGAGGCGCAGGAGCAGCAACGTCTCATGGAGGAGAATATCTCAGCGCTAGACAGCCAGGCGAGAGAGGAAGAATGGCAACAGCAAAACCATGACCCAGTCGTTGAGGCCGAATCAGGCAGCATAGCGGCCACTGGCTTTTCGTACACGGAGCACTTGCAAGAAGCCGACAATGACCTCGGGGATTCCCAATATAACACTATGGAGATAGGTGACTCCCATGACGCCCCTATGGTTGAACCTCAACCAGAGGCTAGTTCATCTCGAGCCGCCCCGAGCAACAGGGACCGAGCGAAACATAGAGTTTCGCGGAGAGAAAAACGCGTGACCGTCGAGAAAAGAACGTTCGGCGGTTACAAATTTGTTTGGGAGGGGAAAACTGTCACTACGGATAAGAATGAGTGGAAACAGGAAGGGGACATCTTGCGGCTGAGGCAACCGTGGGGAGGCTACTCCATCTGGGCTAACAAGCCTTGAGTCCGTTGAAGAGGCTCTAGGCATTACTACAATTTCCCATCTTTGTTTGTATCGTTGTACTTGCGACTCAGATTCAACCTGATATGCACTTACGAAGGATGTTCAACACTCCTTCATCACCAAATGATTAGTCTTATTCTTGCTTGATTGTACTACATCTTATATTGCATTAGTGTTGGACTCCAGACTAATGATGCACGTTATTTATGCGGCTCTGATGGTATGTGGTGCTACTCCATTTGCCTATGACCGGAGATCTGTTGGTGCCGTTCAAGGTCGAGTGAACATATAATCCAAGCTTACATTACCTTACGCAAGCCACTTCTGTCCGAGAATGGTTTTTGTTGACTTCTGTGCATTCTTACAACATCTAGAATTGTATTCGACTCGTACATGAAGAAAGTGGCTCAAGGCAGCGGGTCCAAAGAGCTGTTGATCATGCTCTTCTGCCGCATCGACATCTTGATACCCTGGACCAGTTTCTATCAGAACCGCTCGTCAATTGTCATAAAGGCTTCGACTGATTGATGCGAAAGATACTGTCATGATGACCACAGCGTTTCTAGATAGCACTCTTCATGCCGCCATTGCGAATAGATTGGTTCATTTTCATACGCTCTTGGAGCTGACCTGGTAGAACGAGTCGGCACCGGAGGTGAACCCGGTATCTACCATGACACCCACTGTATGCACCTTTTGTGATGCCACAGGGCATTATCTACCTTGCGAAGTCCGGCGCCGCGCGTTATGGACGCCATTGTCTGGAACAGAGCTGCTCATGCTTCGACGAAGCCCTTGGTTCTTGGGTATATGTAAGAGCTTTGGCTGCTCTTCCGTGGAAAGATTCGTTTCTGGTACTTCCAGTCAGGTTTCCGATGGGTTACTCTATGCGCATCTTAGACACAACGCGTTGGATCGGTTGGTATGTCAGACGATGGCCACGGCTGGACGCCATCGTAGATTTCTGCTTTGCGCCGGGCTGAACTTCCCGTCTCAACGTTAGACTACCACTTTCTCGCCTACTCTCGAAGGAGATAAGAGCGCAGGGCCGATTTCTTGGATCCTTCCGTCGCGTGGAAGCTACCATGACGGGGACTGTCTAAGAAGCACCCCACCAGGAACCGTTTCACATCCCGGACGTAGATGTGTTCATCGGATGCCCCGCGATTGGACAAAGTTAGCCATTGACAACACCGGACACACCCGAAAAGACGCCGCCGATTCCTCCTTGAAAAGATGGCATCCTTGTTCTCGTCGTTTGTCGGCGAAGGGCACGGCTCCAACGGCCGACCTACAGACCCTGGCACGTTGCGACAAATCCGATGCGGCTCGTCTGTAGCCCACCCAATGAGGAACGTGGCATGCACACTGGCGCGATTCCAACAGTCACTCGGGATACGCTGATCAGATGAAGAGGGGTGGGTGTGCGGGAAGAGGGGGTGTCAGAGGAGAACACTCGCAGTGACATAAAAGTACTTGACAGGGATCGCGGTCATGGACCCGGAAGCAGGGGGGCAAGGTCAGAGGCAGCAGGCCAAGGCGAGTCGGGGGCGTGAGGTACCCAGCGAAGCACTTACGCTATGTTGCAGTGTTAGCCGAGAGATGAGTCGTCTGCAAGACAAGCGAATCACAGCCTGCAGCCCTGTGCGGGTTCTCCTCTGAAAAAGGCGGAAAGCTCAAGGCCTGTTCCAGCCGCGTATCCAGCCGCATATCCAGTAGTATAGCGGGGAAGATCTCCGTGTCAATTATCGAAAATCCGGTCTCTGCAGATCGTCCGAGACCGACTCCACCTAGAAGCACGCCTGCCTCAGCTACTGATTCGTCCCGAACGAGTTAGCATGGCATCACACAGCAAAGCTGGCATCGTTACGAAAATCGCGGTGACCGTCTCCAAGAGACAGACTTGCAAAGCGAGGCGGGCTACCACCGGTGGACTGGGCATGTTGCCAGGATTCATCCGACCAAGGGGGTGACGCGAGGTGCTTCTGTGCGTCTCCCAGATGAGCTCTCCCCTGATAGAGTACAACCTTCATCTGAGGCCTTACAAGGGGTCCAGACGGCGCTACTGACGACCTGCACTGTGTTGAAGTCGCGCACTGCGTGACGGTACCTTTTACCGCCCTCCTCGACACATCGCTGCAGCATACGGCGGCGAACTCAGAGCTCTGCCGTCACGGTTGACCCACCCATCGCCGCTGGTAAGTATAAATGCTTTTCCCAATCTACGTTCATTCTACCATTCAGTGCCAACTTCAGTTCTGTCAAGGCTAGCTTGACTAAGCTTGGCAGTGGAATAGAACACCTCCATGAGAATGGCTTCTGATCAGCCTTATGCGTTTTTGAAAACGCAAACTATCGGTAACTTCTTCCTACCCACACGCAATGCTGCTCACTTTACTAACGCGGTCTTGGAGACAATCTCCAACTGTTGTCAGAACGCAATGGGCACATTACCGTTCACACGTCACTGCAGCTTGATGGCTCTTACACCGTCCACGCTGCCGAGGCCTATCGAAACAAGCGTCGCGAGATACTCTCGGGGAGTGGAAAGACCCTCCTCGAGGCCTTCGAAAGCCTTCACAGAAGTTCCGCTCTAGAGGTGCATCGATTCACTAAAGCCAATGGCTATGCCTTCCCACTGAGGTCCGCGTCTGGTGATCACAATGACGGCGAACCCGACTCCTCCGACACTGAGGCATCGACTGCCGATATAATAGTCCTCTCTGACTCACCTTTCCACAACGAAGCTGGCACAAGGTGCAGGCCGGGTGAATCTTCATCTCGCCGCAGAAAATTCCGCCAGAAGAAAAAGAAGCTCCAGGGCTACGCCTCATCCTCCTCCTCGTCATCTGAGGGAGAGAAAGTCCCAATCGACTCTAGGCCAACGAATGTAACGAAGAGGAACCACACCGCTGTGGTTCACACCCCAAGGCAACAAGACCCCATGCTGCCGACTGTAGCCTTGAAAGCTTACCCTGCCGGTTCAGGGGGGAAGTTGAACGACCTAAATGGCCACTCGCTCGCAGTTCACGCATTGCCGCCGCCACCACCACCACCACCACCAAGCATTCGACCTATGATGCAACCACCCCATCCCCAAAACCTCGCCAGAACGCCTGTCTCATCGACGCCCACCAAAGCAGTCCGCCTGGTTGTCAAATGGCACGGTCATGGTGATCGTCGAATTATCTGGGACTGCATGCCAAGCTACATGGCGCTGCAGAGCGCAGCCCTCACCCATCTGGGTAGAAAGTGGCAATCGTTTGATAATGTATCCGCGTCAGAGTTCTGTTCCGATATGCTGAACAGTTTGGTGGTTAAGGAGATACGCATTGAGGTAGGCAACGAGATGTATTCCATCTCGACGGCAGGCGGTGACGACATGAGTGTGCACTTCAGAACACACATCATGCCCAAATTTGAGGTTATAGTCGGCCACCATGGGGGCATTGCATCGTCTCCGCCGGCCCCGTAGCCTCGATGACAATCATACTCCGGTGCAGGTCTAGATGCGACGCAACGCTACTAGGGAGATCATCTGTAGCCTCCGTACCTGTCGGTGCTTTCGGCCCGGGTTTTCGAAGCATGGCCAGCTCTCCCAACGTTGAGTTACCTAGACACTCATGCCACTTCTCTCATTCCTTAGTGTTCTCATTAGATGTCGGCGTGCAAGTACTTTCGTTTTTTCATAGCTAAGGAATTTTTCGTCAAACAAGTATTACTTTCGATATTCCAAAATGAGTCTTTGCCAACGCAAGGCCCCTGAGAAATGCATTAGACCTACACTGCGTCCCACCATATGCTCTTGTCCGTTGCGAGTCCCCATGAAGCATCGTCTTATCAACCTCCCACATGTTCATCCCAATACCTCAAAACTGTGTCCCATGCTCTTCAACCCTCTCACACACGCTTCTTCTTCTCCCTCATCACCTTATCCACACAGCTCCCATCCTTAGGCTGGCTCACACTTTCCATCCAAAGAAGACAGACAGATGTAACGTACTTTACAGACACAAGCAGCCAAAAGTTGAAGTATGGCAAGAAGTGCGACCGTCCCGCTGCGGCGTACATGCGTCACAGGTCCGAAGCAGATGTTGGTATGGCGGGTTAAGCTAGCCATACATGGCTCCTGGCAACGCCCGATCTGGACCTTCACTTTTTTTCACTGTCGCGAAACTTACTCAGCGCCCGTATGGCGCAATCTCTCGTTTCTGCTTCCTTGGCTCAGATTCTCAATCATAAGGCACCTTGTTGTTGAATAGACCCGGACTGCGCTATCAATACATGGGATGTGATGGGTCATGAAGGGATAGCACGAGGTCAAAACAAGCATGTTGACTGGAGATGTTGAGACAGAATTATCAAAGCACGGAGAAAGGTGGGAGACGGAGAGTGAGATTAAAGATGAAAGTAAGTAATGAGATTGAGTAAGGAAGAGTGGTCACCTCGCTGCCTTACTTCATCTAGCTGGACAACTTATTGCTCGTGATACTGGATATTTGTACATCACCTGACTTGCAATACCCTGCTATTCCTTTGCGTTATCTGGGTACGAACAGCTGCCATAAGATTCGAAGACCGCTGAAAGTCATTCACACCCACCGTGCATAACTCCCGCTGAACTAGGGCAATGAATCACTACCCGCCTTATGCGCATAGAATGGGGACGTAGCAGTGTCTTGGTCCCCAATGCCGGGCGTTTGGCCCATTTCCCCTGTAGCAAAATCCCGTACATCATTGAGCACGGCACTGACCCGCATGCTCTGGTCTGGTCGCATATAAGAATCGATAGTGAGTCTTTCTCCGTTCAAAATAGCCATCACGGCTTCAAATGGCAAGGAGACCGGAGTTTGGGGATATTTGTCTGTCAACGAGTGGTGACAAATGTCTCTGGTAAGGCCACTGTCATCCGACTGTTGGTAGGATAAGGATACATCGGCGTCAAGACCGATGTATGATGACGATTGCCGGAAGTCCCTTGGAGTGTCCGTCCCCTTTTTGCTAGGGAGGTCATGACCGGGACCCGAGGGAGAGCTCCTTTCCAAGTTGCTGGCCCGCGATCCATCGGAGTCGTCGTAGGCTGTTGGCTGGTCGTCGTCCAGATTGATGTCGCTGCTCGGAGTCTTGTTGATCTTGACCCTCCGAGGTTCCAATAAGCCGCCACATTGGAGAAAATGATCCATTTGCTCAAGAAACGTGACGTACTTGGAGGCCATGCTGGAGAAAGGTGCAAGCTTGATCAATGCTTGGAGAGCGATGCTGACGATTCCTGTCTGCACTCTCTGCCGTTCCTCGCTTTCATGCTTGCTGGCCATATGACTCTGAGTATCCATGCGAGGATAGTGCCATGCGTAAGTTTCCACAAAGGCTGCTTGCCAGATCGCGAACATGACTAGTGGCGAATGAGGGAGTGTATCTCGGCACAACGATACGAGGTCGATGATTTCCCTGCCAGCCTTGAAAACCTGCTCCGCGCTTCGCTCCCAAAAGCTCTCTAGAACAGTTCTGGGGTTAGAGACGAACTCACCCAGAGGGCCAGTTGGCTTAGAACACTTGATGGCGATGAACGGAATGCATTCGCGATGCAGTATAATTTTGCAGAGAGCACCCAGCATGTGGAGTGATATGTACACGCTGTCGTTGTGTCCCCAAAAGTTCGCGCTGGACCAGGTGAAATCTTCCGGAAGATGTTTGTAGAAATTATCTACTCTTTTACATAGCTGGTAGAAAGTCGACTCTTGGTTCCACGGCGGCAGCGATTCCTCAAGGCGGCCGCCCTCGACACTGTATTTGGTGATATCGCCCCAGACATCAGCCAGTTGTACGAATCGTCTCAAGACGCTGTCACTGATTGGTGGCTCCATGCCATGTTCCACCTGCCGTAAGAATCCGGTGTAGACAACGCGGCCGTGGTCGAAGGCATGCTCGGTGCATGGCAGCTGGATTTGAAGATCGTCGGGCCGAACCATAGAAACCCGATCAGATCCGCAGGACAGAAGACGATCCATTATCAAGCAGCTGAACATAGTACGGCGCCTGATTTCCCGGTCTATCCAATGGTCTGAGGATAGTTTGGCCGATTCACTCGATCGAGGAGACAGCGCCAGAATTCTCTTGCCGCCCAGGGGCTTGTCTCCAGACCCCAATGTCAAGCCTTGAGCCATCCGTATGGCAACGCCAACATACATCCATGCAGCCAGGCCGCCATTCGGCTGACTCCATTTGTACAAGCTGAGCATGAGAATAGCTTGAACACGGACGACAGTAGCTGATGTCAGAGCTGATTCAAGTTCCCCCAGTGCCTTTGTAAGAGCATTTGCGAAGTACTCTGATGCCATTGATGGCTGCGGACTGGGTAGAGCACCGCGAGATCTTGGCCCCGCGATCTTGTTGTGTGTGATGTGTGCCACACATTTGATCAAGACGGGATGAAATCTTGCAGTGAGAGTCAGAATGCCCAGCAGAATCAGATTTGATTCGGTCGACAGATTCTTGCTGTCTTTGTCGTGAATGATGCCCTTGAGAGTTGGGAGATGCAAAAACGGGAGTTCGGTAGCGAAGTGCAGCTTAAATATGTCGAAGAGTTGATGCCACAAGCCGACGGTAAGATAGGGTGCCGAAAGGACTTTCTGAGCAAGTGCCGCAGGAGTCCTTTCATCAGAGGACGTTGCATCTTCGAGCTTCTTCACTCGCTTCCGATCATGCCCGACCTCCCTTACCTGCCTCAGCGCAGTCGGCGGCTTTGATTGTTTCGCCGGAAGAGGCGTTGGATCGGGAAACTCGCACTTATGTCCTGCCTTGATGCATGTGTCGCAAGGTGATCCAGTGCTGTCGTTGTCGCATTTGATTTTGGATTTCCTACATCTCAAACAAGCTATGCTAGATCTCATCGGCGGCTGCATAGCTCTAGAGGGTCTTTTGGCACTTGAGCCTCCCGCCGAGATCGACTTCAAGTCATCGCCGTTGGGCACGATGTAACTCTGACGTATGGCTTCTTCCGGAGCTTGCTTGCCTGCCGACTTTGCTACGGCGAGAATTGTGGAGGTATCCTCCTGTGAGGCAAAGGGTTTGTAACATCTTCCCTTTGACTTGGACTGAGTAGGGAACGCTTTGGGTGCGTCATCGGAGTCCGGAGCAGGAGAGAGCAAAGACTGAATGCGAAGTTGGGAAGAAATTGTGACGGTTCGGGTCTGCTATGGACCCGTGGAGCCAGCAAGGGGAGCAGGCAATTGGGCGCATGAATGATAGGGAGGGTAAGATACGCAGAGCTGGAGGGTGATGGTCAGGCCACTATTTGTCGAGGCAAAGCTCAAAGTACTTCAGGGAGCACAGTCGAGTGGACACTGGCTGTTGACAGATCTCAACCGATAGGTGTTAGCTTCGGGTGATACACGATGAGTTTCTAAGAGAGATCAGAATTGCCAGATAGCCAAAGGACCTATAGCTGAACAAACGACTTCTTTCTGCTTTCTGGAGATGAAGAGCACAAGCTCTAGCGATAGTAGTTGGCGCCGAGAAGCCGAGGTTGGTCAATAACGTTGCGATGAAGAGAGTTGATCTGCTGGAAATAGCTAACGGCAAAACGAGAAAACCAGTAATGTGGGATTGGAGAGTCAAACGAGGTGGAGTGTGGCTATCTCAAACAATAGCAATTATTCTAATGCTCACGTGCCCGCGACACAGGCTGGGGAGGGTGGGAACTTGGTTTGTTTTTAGCCACTGTACCGTCGGCCCCCGGTTTGAGTGTATGCCCGTTTTTAATGGCTATCGCTGCTTGCTCACCCTTCTTTGCCCGTTCTCCCTCATTTTTAGCCGGTCTCTTCCACTTCTGACCTACTGACAACCCCCGGCATCGGCTTTTTTTTTTTCAAAAAAAAAAAAAAAGGAGCCCGGAATCAGGATGTCCTTATGACTTTCCCGACGCCTTCGTCCAGGGTGCTGGATAATTTATCTCCCCCTTTCATATTCATCCTACGATCTCCGACATAAACACGTAATCACGAACATCTGTTCTCGCTACAGTAGACCATATAAGAACCTTGAAGTCCCGCTCAGGCTTTGCTCTCGCGGTTTCGGTCCTTGACAGATCTAGGTGACTGCGGAGATGGGTGTCTACGAGGAGCCTCAAGTTGTTTTTGATGGCAGTCTCACGCAGTAATACCATCTCCACGCCCAGAATGCATTTAGGGAGTAACCTTCGTCCAATCGGCTTTGATGCTAGAGGTCATCGTGATACTTCTCCGCAATAATAGATGACAGTTGATGAGGATGGCCGCGACGAAAGAAAACAGAAAAAGGCATGGAAAATGAGCTGAAGGGCAAATGCCAACCAAATACAAGCAGTCGACTTCCCTTTTCAAAGCCTACCGCCACCTCTCCTTGTGCCTATGTTCATGTGTACCAAAGGTTTCCTCAAAGACTTCACGGTCGCCGGAAGTGTCTGGACGACATGGAGTGTTAAATTCGATACGTTAATACTATTCTTGTTGATCTGTCCGAACGATCACTTTCCTCGTCTTCAGTTGCTCCGTTTGAGACCATCCATGCCTTCACCTACTAGCTGTATCACCTGCGTGAGACGAATAGCTGACTCTAATCGCTTATTTACAAAGTTGCGTAACCCTTCACGACGGTACCGTCATTCAACTGTACTCGTCGGGTCAACAGCGATCTGTGCAGATTCGTCTTGCCTAGTCCGAGATGATCGTACATCTCGAAGCTCTCTGTTCAGGATTGAGCTTTGGGATAGACTTCCGTGGCAGAGTCGCAGAGAAGGTGCAGTTGCTCCGGTGCAGTGTGGGGTATAGAGGACATGCCAGTGAAGACGTCGAACTGGTCAAGATATTGAATGTACTTCTCGGTAGCTGATGAAGTCTCACAAGCTTCCTCATGATGCTGAGACGCGCTCCCGAAGACAATCAGATCATCGAGCGATGCTGCAGCCAACACCTTCCAGATCAAAGATAGAAGGGATTCGCGGTGGCTCAGTTGGCCACAAGGTCCTCGTATACTTTCGACGCCAATAGGAGGAAATCGGATGCGGATTTCATAGGTTTGATGCACATGACAAAACTGAATCCCATCGAGGCCTGTTTGTTGGTCCACATCGGGCCCGCCTTTGGAAAACGTGTCATCTTGGACCGGCATGTTGTACTTCTGCATCTTGCCAACTTGGCCAGAAGCATCAATGGCAGAGTCTGTCAAATGTCGTCCGTCTTGATAACGGCCATCATCAAGCCTATCTGGGCGGATGGAAAGCAAGGACTGACGTCGGTGGTATGCATGATTGCTCAACCCGTCCGGCGCGGGCATCATACCAAAAAGCTGAGCCGTGCCATCCGCAGGCATGATACCCGGATCATGACTGTGGTTCAGACCGTGATTCTGACTAAGGGCTGCTCTTCGCCTAGCAGCTTTCTTCTCGACATGAATCTGGGGGCGAGATAAGTGAATGACAACACAAGTTGGTTTACGTCGGCGGATGAAGTGATTATCGAGACGGTCAGTCAGCGAGAAAGTTTCACCACACAGGGTGCACGTGTCTAGTGATCATCTTGGTCAGCAAGGTAACAAGCTGCGTGGATCATGGAGCTGTTACTTACGGCGCAACAGGTAAAGCTTCAAGTGGCTCTCTCGCATGTAGGTCGTGTTGCAGTAAGGGCAAGGCAACTTGCCCCCGACATTCTTGACCGGATTGGATGTGCTCTTTGTATTGCAAGCGCCAGCTACAGTAACACCAGGGCAGCCAAAAGCGCTGGAAAGGATGCCCCGGCGACGCTGGGAGCCAACGGCGTATATGGGCCGTTTGACCTCATCCATGCCATTGAGCATAACACCGCCCTGGCCGTAGGGACAGTTCCCATCGGGCTGGGACACGATACCATCAGCAGTGACGGGACACAAGGCAGGAAGAACGTGTCCAAACGTGGGGAGGCGGTGGACCGCCGGGAAGAGAAAGCCATGGCGGTCAGGGGCAGCATGAATGGAGGTCTGTACGCCTGGACCGGGTGAGGATACCGGCCCATCTGCTGACAAGAACCGCGGGACTTTTGCTGTTGAGGCGCGTGAGGGTTGATGCCATGCACCTGCAGATGTCTGCGGCTTCAAGGGCGGCAAAGTCTCGCGAGGCAGCGAGGAGCTGATTTGCTGAATTGGACGAGGCATAATGGCTGGTGGCGGCGGGTAGAGGACCGAGGTTGTGTTTTATGGTGCGAGGCTCCGGGTGTTACCGTGTTGGATATTGTCTTGAGGAGGGTCGAAAATGAAAACTAGGCACCGATCCTTTTTTCCTCTCGCGCTTGAAGCGAGCAAAAGAAGAAGAAGCCTCCACCCGAAAACCCGAAAATTGAAAACTGAAAACTGCCGGGTATCTGGCGCCGCCGAGAGGGGAATTGTGAGAAGGGGGTGTGCATGGGAGGGAAGGGAAATCGACCGCACCAAGGTGTTGTCGAGGATATGCCTCGGGGTAGTTGTCAAGAATGGCCCCTTCACGCGCCCGCGTACGAGGCGGAGATGACAAAAGGGAAAGAAGCGCAGGGCGTGGTCACTTCCGAGAGGAGTAATGCTACAGAGACCCAGTTGAAATAGCAGAGCAGCACAGCTGAATGAAAATAGCCTGAGTCCTTGGACTTCGTCCGTCGGTGTTGAAGGTTCAGCCACTCCATATCTCTGGTCGAACCCCACGCGGAAGAAAGACGAAGCGATCAGAGTTGTTGCGAGCAGCACAGATCGGCAAGGCAGGGATACAAGAGCTGTTCCAGATAGGTGACTGTGCGGTGCTCCATGGCCGACAAAAAGCGCAGATGTTCTCATGAGAGCTCTGTTAGATGAAGTCCCACGCGGGCCGCTCCTACTGCTCAGCGGATGGCATGGGACGGCGTACTGGAGCAGGGGTGAACGAGTACCTGACTGTATCGACCAGCCACGTCTGGTCTGTCGCCATACGAGGCTAGCGTGTGGGGAGTGCCCACCATGCGTACATAGTAAGAGATGAGGTGGGCCCGGGGGGGGGGGTGTCGAATCATCCCTGCTCATTCGGGGCGTGAACGTGAGTTGGGGTGAGGGGCGTGCGCACGTCCATCTGATCAACCTGCTTGCGGCAGGGGTTGTGAACTTGAACGGCTGGTGTCGGTATATAAGTTTGCCCATCCACCAGGGGCCATTCTGAAGCGCGAATTACCTTCCAGATAGCGCCGATCCCTGTCGCGCGGATCATTGGCCATTGCGACAGTGCGACAGCATCTCAAAATCGGCGAGCGTACCAAGGTGACAAGCAGAGAGCAGGACTCGTAGTCGATGGTGCATCGAAACAGCATGTGGCGCTGGCTATCCTGTAATGCCCTCACGCCGCCGGATAAGCTTCCCCGGAGCATGGACTGTCCTCCAGCCAGTTGGTGGTCCGCCGGTTTCTGACGATCAGCGAGACGCGGATAGTCCTGCAGCGGCCGCCGCTTCAAAGCGGATAGCAGCTGATATTGCATCGGAATGCGCTCACGCTGTCCGCGGGTGAAGACAGCGAGTTGCCCAACGTGGCTACTTCCACTATCAACTGCCAGTTGACGGGACATGCCGCTGGGGACTTGGGTGACAGCGCCACTATCCAGATGCGCGATAGCCCTTTTTGCGGAACTTTTTGCTCCATTGGAACGTTTTTTAAACCCCCCTGATTACATTCCTCATCGTCGGTCATCGGCAAAACTGCAGTCGTTTCGGTGGCCATGTTGGCTCTGTATGTTCCGATCACGATTCTCATGTGGTCTCTGCTCAGGATCAATACCCCAAGGGGCAAATACGTGAGTGCAACCCAGATACTTTGCAGGTGACGGAGATGGTGTCCAGAGCCAAGATGTGTCGCGACTATGAGTTCGACGAGGCGGGCTGGAACACCAGTCTTCATCACCACGTCATCAATCTGGCGGTACCGGAGTTTTACCAAGCGACAGGCAAACTTGTCTACATGATTCCGTGGTGTGTACTTGCTGCTTGTCGTCGTCCTATCTAATATTTCTGGAGTAATCCTGACATCTGTTTGCGTTGTTTTTTAGCACGAGTGCAAACACCCTTCCGGACCTTGTTCAGACAAGCGCATTCCGGAAAGTCGATTTCTGCCTCTGCATCGAACCCACTGGTGCCGCCGCCCAAGCCATCAATAGATTGGTGCTGACCGAGACGCCGTCTATCAACCACACAGAGTACGGCGCCCTGAAAACACGGCCGATTGGCCTTAGTATCGAGACGAAGCTTCAGGGTGAAGGCCTATCGGTCGCTGAGGCCCAGCTCCTGACCTGGCATGCGAGCCAATGGCGCATGCTAGATCGTCTCATGGCCGGCACCGTTCCGCGGATGCCACTGATCGATTTCCTTCCTGGCATCATTGTCCAAGGAAACGACTGGTTATTCGTAGCGAGTACGAGAGATGGAGATGAAGTGGTAAGTCATGGCATGGCAGGATGACGTTCCGGCCACACACCCTCCCTTCCCCGATGCATTTTTGCGAGCAATATGCTGACACATGAGACGATAGACGTTGTGGTCGAATCAGATGATTGGCTCGACAAGTGAACCGCTGGGGGTATATCAGATTGTCTGTGTGCTCCAGTTTCTGATATCCTGGATCGAGGACGTTTACTGGCCTTGGTTTCAGCAGGCCGTACTGTGCCTTCATCCGGAGCCTGTGTAGAGAGATGAACTGAGCCGCAAGCTTCCCTCTATCCGCCATGCCATACTCTACAGCGTTGTCGTGGATGGGCGTGAATGTGGAAGCCCGCAGCGTCGCACTCATGACCAAGATCTTGGCAGGAGAACTTCCATTGTAATCCAACTTGGCAGTCTGTGAACAATGATGAAGAATCCTGTGAATATCGGAACGTGATGTTGATCTGATTTGATGTTCGGAAAGGTAGATGAGATGCTACAAGGAAGCTCGTTCAACTCTGCAAGCTGCTAACTCATTTTGTTACCAATTGTCTGCTCCTCTTCGAGAACACCGTAACTTTGGACTAGACATTCGTCAAGGTAGGCTCCTCGAGGCAAGCCGGAATCATGCCTGGATTATTTCACCCGAGAAGAGACCATCATGTTTGTGAAAGACATCAATGACGAAAGAAGAACACAGGAAGGGGCTGCACGGTGTTCCTGAGCTGATCTTATTGATTCGCGAAGTGACCTGCAAGTCCCTATGAGGCCGAGACCAACGCAGCTCAAGGACGGTTGACCCGGTGCTCAAGCCCATCCTTCCTAGGTATACAGAACCCGTGCAGAGATGCTTGAGGGTTCGGGTGACATCCCCAATAGTCATATTGCCCACAGCTTGCCTGCTGCCCGCGGACGTGGCGCCAACTGAGCTGTGACTTTTGTCGAACCTTCCAGTCAAACTGACGCCTCTTGTTACGGTGAGGCAGGCTGTGGATTTGAGCCAATTTATCTTCTCGTCCTCGCGAATGATAGCGTGGATTCGTTTATCTTCTCTAGATGATTCTTGGTGGCAATCCGCGTCGAGCTGGATCCAATGAGTTCGAGGGGATTACCTGGTTCCCGAAACTGCTTCAACATCTCCTCTGCTTCCTGGTCGTTGGCGGTACAGATCGAACCGAGCAAGCCCTTGT